CATAGATACATAAATTGCATTAGTATATAAGGCTCTTAAACCATCAGGCCTGGACCCACCTAAGACTCCTCCCAGAGGCCTCCTGGGCCATCCCTGGCAGGTCCCCAGGACAAGACCTGAGTAGAGATTCCATGACATAGTACCCTTACCTGTCACATTCCCAGCCCCGAGACTCTAAGTGTCTGGTGGCTCAGAAGGAAGAAGTTTAATCCTCTCCCACACCAAGGTGAACCCTCTGGTCCCCACTTCTCTGTCCCAAGAACTGCATCTTCTCATCAGATTGGGAGTTGTGTCCCTTCCTCCTCTCAGGGAAGCCCAGTCCTGCCAGGAAGATGTGGTTTTACTCTCTGGTGCCCACAATACAATTGTATCCACACGTACAATCTCACCCTTAGCACAGTGCCCTAGAGGAGAGGTATTGCTCTGTCTTAAATAATGTCTCCCTGGGTTCCATGGAACTTTGCTTCTCTATCTCCCTTCATCTGAGGGGAGACCAGACCTGCGCCTCCAAAAGACAGGCTTGTTAAATGGACACAGGAATAAATGACACACGGGACCCCAAACCACTCGCTGAGTTACACTTTGCATCAGCAAAATGATTATACCCATCCAAATGGGTGTGGTGATTATGGAATTACTCTATGCAGGGTTCACTCAGTTGTCAAGGAGATGGTATAAATAAATGCACACATAAAGAACTGGATTCGAGTAGGAGGCAGCCTTGCCTGGTTGACAGAAGTCTGGGAATCTGGATCCCAGCCTGTTCTCTGCTAAGTTTTACACCCAGCCCGAAGGTACTGCAGTTGTGCAGGATGAGGGGCAGGAGTGGAGGACAGAGGAGCACCCACTGCACTTGGCCTTGCGCTTGCTCTTCTGCCCCAGTACTTATCTTTCATTCATGTGTCAATTAATTTCTCCAATGAAATGTTTATTCTTGATTCAGCAGAGTGGAATTTCTACCTGGATTTCCTCTTCAGGGATGCTGCCCGAGACTTGGTAGCCTAACGATGGATGCCTGTGGCCGCGGATGCATTTGACAGAGGTTGCACAGTGCTTGCCTCCCCACTGCAGTCCCACACTTCCCCCCTGCACCCCTGGATGCTTCCTCAGCCGGGCCGGCCCCTCCCGAGGTTCCTCAGACTGCCGCCAGCCCTGGGACTGCTGTGACTGGTTTATCTTGGGTGGGTCTGGCATCTGTACTTGGGGCTTCTGTTCGTTTTCCCCACCAGGTACTGCAAGAGCATCTGCCACTGGTTCAATACGCCTGGGGTTGCCCTTGTTGGAGCCTGGCACTGAGAGGCTCACAGATGGGGCTGTTATCTCTGCTTCCAAGGGCCAGGACCACTCAGAGAGGAAGGATGGATCCCTGAGGACCCGAAAGAGTCTGCTCCAGGACGTTCTCATTGGAGGTGTACAGCAGAGAGTGTAAATCTGCTGCTTAGCTGCGAATGAATACAAATCAGCCCTCATTTGTATTCATCTATTCCACGAGCAAGTGGCTCGGAGAGGCTACACTGAGAGGAGAAGCTGGTTCTCAAGCTGGTTGTGCTGCTCCCTTACGAGGGAACCTGGGCTCGCTCAGCTGACTCAGCCTCAGAATCACCTCAGGGCGTCGGCCCATCTGTAAACCAGGCATCTTCTGAAGGCCTATTTATTCCTCAACCCCAGAGCCATGAGACATGTGGCTCCAACCTCTGAGCGTCAGTTTCCTCATCTGGACAGTGGGAGTAAGGATCACACAGTTCATCCTCCACATCACAGAGGATGCATACATAGACTCCACCAACTGCAGATGGAAAATATTTTTAAAAGTTTGCACGAACACGTACACATTTCCCTTCTGTTAGTATTCCCTAGAAATACAGCACATCAACTACCTACACAGCAGTTACATTGTATAAGGAAGGAAAGGTAATCTAGAGATGATTTAGAGGGTGTAGGAGGACGTGTGTATATTTTATGCCAATGCAGCATCAGTTTATACAGATGACTTAAGAATCCCTGGATTCTGGTACCCAGGGGCCCCCTGTGGATGCTGAGGTTTGGCTGCATCCAATTCAAGCACCACTGAGGAGACTGAAGGAAGCTGCTCCTGTGAAGGGTTTAACACAGGGCACAGACAGTGGAGGGACGACAGCCCATGGAGTCCCTGAGTCCCTCACAGAGCGGTGATAAATGGCAAGTGATGCTTCAAGCATCTTCCCATTTGCTAGAACCTTGTGATGCAGTTGTAATTACACATGCACAGTAAACATATGCAGGATGGGCTTAACGGGTCCTTGATTAAATGTCTTTGCTGTACCTGAGCAATATTCTACGGCAGTGACAGGGAATCTGTGACATGCATGCCGCAGGGTGCTGCTTGTCATCACTGACAGCTCTGAAAGGTTCACTGTCACTATTCGATAACAGAAGGAACATACATCTCTGGGAGAGAAGGGTTTTAAAGACCCTCTGATTCCAACCTCTTGATCTGCAAACGCAAACACTGAAGCTCAACAGGAGTGACTCACTAATATCCAGAGTTCCTGAAGACAGATTGGAACTGGAAAGCAGATCCCCTAAGTGATAGGATGGTTTCGTTTCTGTTTGTTACACTGTACAGATGTGGCAGCCACAGTTTGGAGATTGGATGAGCAGCCACAGTCCTTTAGGTGAGGTGTGACAGCTGGACCCGAGTTTGCAATGACCACATTCCCGTGTGTACTATATGCCAAGCACTGTCCTCAGCATGCTGCATGCGTCATGGTGCTCAGTCCCTGCCAACGGGCCTCAGGAGTGAACATTCGGATGCCCATGTCCAGAGTGGTGGGCAGCATGGAGTGGTCCAATAGATCACCCGAGTTTGCACAGAATTAAAACACAAACCGTCTGGCCTCATAATCTGTTCACTTCTCCTTAGTCTCCCTACCTGACCCTCTTATTTTTCCTCTCTGGACACCCATAGGTTTGAGCTCTAAGTGGAAGAGGAGACCAGGAGCTGTGCCCGTAACCCAGGAAGTCACTGGGCAGAAGGAGAGCAGGCCCTCCTGGAGCGTGGGGGCCCCACTCTGGCAGTGAAGGCAGCTTTTCTCCTGAGCCTGCTGAGTGAGTTCCGGGGTTGTTAGAACCTCCCTCGTGAGCTGACCAGATCCTGACTTGGCTCTGCTGGAGAATGAGAAGACAGAGCTGCTGCCAGGGCCACATGGTGAGGAGAGACCAGTGCAGCCACCCAGCCCTGCTCTGGGCCTGCTCTGTCTCCTAGGAGTGCAGAGGGGAGACCCTGTTGCTCGCTACCCACCTCCCAGCGGAGTGGGAGGCCAGGGAAGAGCTGTCATCCCAAACTCCAAATTTAATCATCAAACAATAAAACAAAGTAAGAACTCAGATTAGAGCCAGTTCATAACCCAAATAAGCCCAGTCTGCTCCTCATCCATTCCAGTGACTGCAAGCTACTTCACCTCTGTGTGCCTCAGTTTCCCGATATGTACAATGCAAAGAGTGCTAGTGGCAAACTCAAAGGGTGGTTGGAAAGAGCCGAATGCTAGTGTCCCCAAAACTCACACCCAGCCCTGACATGGTAGTGTCTAGAGATGGGGTTTTTGGGGAGTAATTAGGGTTAGCAAAGGTCTTGAGGGTGGGGTGCTTGAGATGAGGTTAGGGCCCTTATCAGAGGGGGGCCAGAGACCTCCTCCTCTGTCCCTTCCTGTCCCCATGCACATACTGAGGAGAGGCCGTGACAGCAGAGACGAAGGTGGCCGTTGCAAGCCAGGAGGAGAGCCCACACCAGCATCCAACAGCTCAGGAACTTGATCTTGGACTTCCTAGTTTCCAAATAGAAAGAAAGTAAATGAATGCTGTTTAAGCCACCCAGTCTGTGGCATTTTGTTATGGTAACCCAGGTAGATGATGATGGTGGGTGCACAAATTAAATGATAGGACGCTTGCTTGCTTGCCCGGTGCTTGGTGTGTGTTTCAAGACGTGATATACAAATTATCTGAGCCATATGAGACCTGTATACATGGGATGTGTGATATCTATGATCTATCTATTCATCCATCCATTCACCACCCACCCATCCTTCTACTTACCTAATCTATCTGTCTGTTTGTCTAACCATCCATCCATCCATCATCTATCCATTCATCATCATCCACCCACTCACTCACCACCCATCTACCTATCTAATCTGTCTGCCCATCTGTCCATCCATCCATCCATCCACCCATGCATCTGTCTGTCCATCTGTCCATCCATTATATCTATCTATCTGTCTATCTATCTATCTATCTATCTATCTATCTATCTATCTATCTGTCATGGGTAACTTTGGCTAAGTTAACCCTAACCAACCAAAGCAGAAAGACTGTGACCAGCACCTGCAGTTAAAGTGCCACAGTACTTGGCAGTCAGGCCCATGCTACATCCTGGACTACAGGACTGTGAATGGAGAGCACCTTGATCTCCTCCTCTGCATCTGGAACCACTGCTGGGCCAGTCTGGGCATCCCTGAAGCAAATGACAGGCTCAGTGGATGATGCAGGTTTCCATGTCAACCTTGAACACAACAGCAGCAGAAAATGGGGCTCCTGCTGACTGGATTCTCCAGCTCCTGGGAAGTACTTGGAGCAGAGTTGCCTCTCTGTGCTGATTAAGCATTGCTGGACCACTCAGGAGCTGTGGAGAGGCCTCACCAGAAGTGCTGGTCTTCTCAATAATCTGGGCACATGGGAAGCTTGAGAAATTAATTGTGCTATTAGAAGAGATGTGACTATTTGTTCTGCAACTAGTTTCAGGAAATGATAGCAGGGACCTTTAATGAGCACTTACGATGCTCCAGGCACAATAGCAGGTGATTTACATAACTCATCTCTTTCATCTCTGCAGCAGGAGGGGCAGCTGCATTATCCACAGTTTACATGGGAGGTGACCGAGCCCTGAGACCGAAGTCACTTGTCCAAGGTCACAAAGCTACAGCACGTGGAGCCAGTGGCCAGACTTGAGATTGTGACAGCACGGGCCAGCCTCTCCTCTGTGAAACAGAAAAGGGAGAAATGCTACCCCAAGTGTGCTACTAAGCTGTGCGCAGCGGCGGTGAGTTCTCTGGCAGGAAATGAGCTGAATGATCAGTGTTTTCTGCCCGCAGAAGGGGACAGGTTTAAGGGGAGGCTGCTGCCCAAGTGCTGCTCAGCTGAGGAGCCCACCTCATGCACTTGGCCAAGCCAGTCTTCCTTTCAGGCAGGACAGCACGCCGGAGGGAGCCTGGGCACAGCGCGCAGGGCTTTGTAAACCGGATCTCAGAGCCCGGCCAGGCTTTGTCCCTGGGAAGGAAATTGCAGCAAATGAGAGGCAGGAGGGACCCGTGCCAAGGAAAGAGCCAGTCCAGGGTGCACAGCCGCGAGCTGCAGGGGCCATGCAGTTAGCAATGCCAACTCCAGTGGCTGCCACTGTCCCTGCCACACTGTGCCAGCTCTGCTCGCATGGCCAGGATGGAGGCTGTGCCAGTCTGCAGCTCACAGCGCCCATGCCGGGAGCTACTGGCTGGGCCCGGCTACCCCTGCCGATGTGTGGCATGGCCACCTTGAGGAAGGGACAGCTCAGGGCCCCCAGGAGGCCCCACAGCCACGGCTGATGCTGCCAGGGGAGCACCTCACTGTAAACACCAACTGTGGCCGGAGGAAAGATAAGCAAGCACTGTAAACACAACTGCAGTGGGTGCTGAGTGTATCAGAATGCCTGCACTGCTAGGGCCCGCAGAACGTGGTAGCCACAGCCACTGAGCAGTGCACGACTGGGTGCCAGGCCTCTCCTTGGCCCTGTGAACATGGCAGTGGACCCTTGCAGCATGGGACAAAGGCCCCGTGCTCACTTTGTGGGGTGGGGGAAACTGAGGCCCCCAGGGCTGGGTAACCTGCCCAAGCGGCAGGGCCTGTGTGGAACTGGGATCCATCCAGCTGTCAGCCTTAAACTGTCAGCCTGTGCTGCCCAGCTCCCTTCCTCCTTCAGGAAGCAAACCCTGAACCATGACCCCAGGTCCAGCCTGCTTTGAAGGTGAGCACACAGAGCCAGCAGCTGTGTGCGTGTGTGTGACCATGCGTCCATGCTCACAGCTGCAGTGTCCAGGGGTTGACGAATCCAGACTGTGATGGCAGAGAGGGCGCTGGTGGGTGAAGGAGGTATCGGGATCCTAAGCAAGACTCTGCAAGACTCAGTGTTTGTTCGCTCGTAACCTCACTTCCAAAGCCAGAAGTCCAGGCGATGGAAACTGGGGCCTTCCACATCTGAAATGCTGCGGTTTGGTTTCAGCTGTGCTCAGGGCTGAAGGAAGACAGCCATCCCGAATGCAGAGACACCCACAGGGCTGGGCCAGCCTCTCCCTTCTCTTCCATCAGCGCAAACCTCCAACAGTGGCCCAACTCACACGTGTCCTTTGCCCGGGGCTTCTGTGAGCCACTGAGCTCGAGGCCCTGCTCTTTCCCCGGAACTCCAAGAGCTCGCCCTGTGGATCGGGTGGCTGACGACGGCTCGGAGGAGCAGGGCGAACAGGAGAGGAGCTGCACAGAGAGCCGGTGAGGAGGAGGATGTTTTGTGGTGTTGAGTGTGAGGCTTGGAGAGGGATGCAAACCTGAGCACGTGAATCTGGAGCTTCCGGAGCAGCTAAATTCCTGCCCCTCTAGGAAAGGGAGATGGCTGGGAAAACCTGATGGCCACTTGCTTCTTGGCCTGACACCCTTTCCTGAATGTGGCACTGCACTGGGTCAGGGCCATGGGGCATGTGGCTTTCCACAGGTCACGGGACGTGAGTATCGTGAGTGACTGCCCGTAGCGACTCCCCCCAGACTCCTCTCTGACTCACAAAGGGCTGTGCCAGCTCCTTTCTTCTGGCTCTTGCTTTCTCACCCCTCCCCCAAGCTCCTGGACATCTCAGCAGGGGGCACCGACCACTCGGTCCCCCGCTGGGGACAGGCAGCGAACAGGCATCAGTGCTGTCGACTTCAGCTGCATGGGTTTGTTTAACGATCTGTGTCCTCTGCCACACAGGGCCTCTTAGAGGCCAGAGATGGAGACCAGATCAGAATCTCTTGCAAGCCACGGCACTCGATAAGTAAATGTTCGTTGAACTAAGGAAGGGACTTCCAGGCACCTGGCACGGGGTTTGTACATGATGAAAAATAAATAACGTCTCAAGCTTATTCAGTGTTTACCATGTAAAAGAGTGTGTGCCGGTGCTTCCACGGATTGTCACATTTCATCCGTTCAGCGGCTCTGTGAACAGCCTTGTCGGCAGCCACGTTGGGGTCATCATTTTCCTAATGAGAAAATGAAGCTCTCAGAGGGCCAGGCGGCAAGCTGGTCTCTGTCACTCATAAATGGCGGAGTCAGGAGCCACAACTAAACTGAGCTCGGGGTTCAACGTCCATATTATGTTGTGTCAGGAACAAAGAAAGTGAAAGAGGAAGCAAGTCGTGGGCAATCTGAGGATGGGGCCCCGTATCACCAGGGTGTAGTAATGAAGTAACTTGTGTGCATTCTGAATAAGCATGCCTCGCCCTCGGCATGTTGATGATTACTGATTACAGGTTCTACGACTATTGTATGAAATCTATGTTTTGTTTTTAGGTAGCTATGCAGAGAAGATTTGGAGTGACTCAAGTAATAAATATATGATCCAGCCCATTGCGACTTCCTTTCCAGGGCAGATTCTCCCCACACCCCCAGGAGGAGGGGCCAGTCCAGAAAGACCTCTGAGCACGAAGGCCAGGCCCTCTTCAGAAATGGCACCAGGGTCCACACCTGGGTTGAAGGCTGCCTGGCGAGAAGGAAGCTGCTCTCTGACCCAAGGACAGGTGGCTGCACCGTGGTGGGAGGGAGTGGTCTGCGGGGGTCCACGCTGCTCCTGCCATGGTCTTCTTGGGTGAAGTTACTTTGATGAAACGGACACAGAGACAGCATCTCCTTCTCCTCCTCCTCTGTGTGATTAGCTTACAACTGAAGTGAGAGAGTGTGTAGGGACAGCACAGCACAGAGCAGGGCACACAGTGAACCCAAGACAGGACCTGAGCTTTAAAATCACAGTCCGGGTCCTGAGTGGACCTAGGAGTGTGTGTGCTCCTGAATCAGAGACCCGTCCTGACAGACCGTCTGACCGTCAGAGGGAAGACTGTGCCGGGAGGTGTGCCAGGGCTGTCTTTGGAAGCAAAAGTACCCTGGTGCATGAACTCAGGAGTCTGAGAACCAAAGACACCAGTCCCCAGGCCCATCTTAGACAGCCCTGTGCCCTCCAAGGGCATTTCTACCTCAGCTGGTGGACTGATTCATAATCTGAGAGGCTGAACGAAGCCCATGGGGGTGGGAGCGAACACTCGGGGCTCCCTTGGCACCTGCAGGCAGTCTCTTCCAGTGGTCTTTCTTTTCTGCTGCAGAGTCTGGAAAACTAAACCAGCACTTTCCAGACTACCCGAGGCTACAGTTTGGGAGGGGTTTTGGGGAGAACTGGATAGGACTCAGGCCACACAGGGGCAGTGGTGACAGACAGAGGTGTCCTGTCGCTGATGATCAGCCCGACACTCCCTCCTGGCCCCTTCGGCATCAGCTCGTGGCAGAGGTGACTGACCGCTCTCCGTGCCAGGGGAGGAGCTGCTTGGCAGGAAGACGTGCAGCCACGGTGGGGTGAGCCCCAATGCCTCCCTTCTCATCTCGCCTGAGTGGTGTACCTGGAGAGCCGCACCTTCTCCCCAAAGTGTCCGATGTTTGCCTGAAGTCGACGGTGACTCTGATGATCCTACTGTGCAGCTGAGTGTGTTTGTGTGTGCAAGGGACTGAAAATTGCTCCCTACAATGACAGAAACTCGTTTTAGGGAAAATGAAACTGGCTTTATGGTCTTACAGAGATGTCTTATAAGAATAAATCAGTTTTTTCCACAAACTGTTCAGTCCAACTTTGATAAGTGCCAATCTGTGGAGGAAAGGGAAGAGATGACCAGGGAGGCCTCTTCTGTCGCAGGGCCTGGGTTGGGCAGTGCCACTTCTGTCCTCCCAGCCTCCTCAGCAAGACCTTTACCCAGACTCTGGCCTGGCCCTGGCCCTGGACTGGCCGAGGGAAATCAGGGTGCTGGCACATCAACTGAGAGCCCCTGGGGGCCCCACATTGTGTCCCCGTTTCCAGCACCGGACGGCATCGTCTCCACAGGAAGGAACTGCATCTGTGCCATTCAGCAGCAGCCGGGCACCCCCAAAGTTGAAGTTTTGACAATGCAATGGAGATAAAAGTTCTCCAAGGACCGAGTCTCAGCATATATGGCAAATTTAATTTCATATTCTTACTCAAAAGATTTTCCCCCCGTGCATTACTTATTTAAAAAACTAAAAGTGCTGGAACCATTCTTCTTTTGATAAGACACAGGCGGCCACAGCACGGTCTGCCCTTGGGTCCTCCCCGAAGCAGACAAAGCAATTTTATCTCAGCCTCCAGCTCACAGAATCTGGGGCCGCTGTCCTGAGTGAGTGCGGACAGGGCACAGAGGACTCACACTGTGTGTGTAAATCCTGCCTGCCGACAGCCGCTCTCTGCTGCATGACGGAGGCGGGAGCTGCACTCTACCCCAGAGCCCGGAAGGCGGAGCCCAGCTCTGCAAGGTGCGGCGGGCATGGACAGAGCGCTGGGGTTAGAGCAGGAACTGGCAGCTGCCTCGCGGCTGAGGACCAGGCGCGGTCTTCTCTTCTGTTACTGAGGGGGGAAAGGGAGGAAGGGTGTGCTCCCACAGACAGGACCTGTGGGAGGGCAGGTCTCTGGGACTTCCGGCTGTTGTCCTCTCCAGGGTGCTGGACGGCAGCCCCGACAGCGTCAGCGGGATGCTTGGTGGGTACCCCAGGCAGGCAGAGACCCTGGGTGCCAAGTGGCACCTTGGCACCGAGGGTGGGGCTGCATCACCCAGGGTCTCCTTCCCTCTTCTCTTTCTCCGTCCTGTCTTCTTTGTGAAGCGGCCTGCACTCCCCTCCTGGCCCTAGAACTTGGCTTTCAGCCTCTTGCCTGCCCGGCCCTCGCTGGACAGAGGGGCTCCGGGCTGCATCTGTCTGTCTCCTCTCTCAGTCTGTCTGGCCCATTTTTGCTGACCCAGCACCCTCCCTCTTCCTGAGCTCTCTGCCAGAGGCCCCCACAGCCTGATGGATTCCACCTCAAGGGGTGGCATTGGGGTTCAGTGTATGGGCTATCACCTGGGGGTGGGCGGCAGCTTCCCCCACAGCAGCTCCCTGTGCCCCGAACTCACCTGCTTCGTCTTCCTGGCTGACTCCCACCAGCGCAGCTACCATGACACCTCTCAGAGGAGGGAGGACTGCCGGACACTCCTCCTCCACTGCCCCCACCAGCTTCAGGGTCTGGAGCTCCCTCCACCCCTGCCCAGCCCGCCCCACACTGCCGTCCAGTGCCCACGCACTGGTCCCTCCCTCAGTGCCCTGGGAGCTCTGCAGAGGCTGGGAGTGACCACCCTTTGCTAGTGTGTCCGGGGACCGGAGGTGCTCAGAAAATATGCAGAGCAAGAGATGTCAGGTGAAACTTCCTGCTACTAAACAAAAGCAGCAGTATGGGCTCCTCATCTGTGCTCACCGCTGGAGGCACCAGGATGTGGCAGAGGAAAGAGAAGTGCATGGGGGAGAAAAGGAAGAGGGATCTGAAGAGCAGCTTGGACGCGCAGTTTTTTGTTTCTTTTTCTGATACCGCGGATTGAACCCATGGCCTTGTGCTTGCTAGGAAAGTGCTCTAGCACTGAGCCACACTTCCAGCTACTTTTTAATTTAATTTAATTTAATTTAATGTAACTTAATTTAATTTAATTTTGAAATAGGCTCTTACTGAGTTTCCCAGGCTGCCCTCAAACGTGGGATCCTCCTGCCTCAGCCTCTTGAGTGGCTGCGATGAGAGGTGTGAGCCAGTGACATGGGTGCAGATTCTTATTTCTTACTGAAATAAGAACGAGGTGAGGGGGAGGGGCCACAGCCAAGGGGAGGGCTGACTTCCCCAGTGACAGGAAGTGCGAGCGCCTGGCAGGTGCCTTTGCCCGGGCTGCTCAGGCAAGTATGGGAGTCCGCAGAGAGGCAGTGCTGGCCTCACACGGCTCTCTGAGCAGCCAGGCACACGCGCACAGGGTGTCCTGTCGTCTCTGGAGTCAGGTTCCCCATGCCTTGGGATCGGCTTGCTCACTAAGTACTCCTCAGTGCTGGGAGCTGGGACTCAGTGGAAACACCTGGCCTCTCCTTTGGAGGAGTGCAGGTGGTGGTGGGTGGGCAGGCAGGGTCGGGAAGCGTCTGGGTTTCCAAATAATCGGGGGTGGTGAAAGTAAGGACAGCACAAGGCAGAGTGTGAGCGGGGCTCGGAGGGCAGGTGGGAGTGCCTCGGACCACTATGAAGCAGCGTGGCCATCGCCAGACCACGTGGAGACCTCGCTGGGCAGGACTGTGGTGCTGGTGGCTTGTGTGGGTAGTTCCCAGGGGCTGGAGGGGTGGCTGCGGGTGGGGCGGGGGCGGAGAGGTCACCTGGTGCTGGGACACCCGTGGTGAAGGGCGGGGACCCCTCGGGGGTGGGGACCTCTGAGGGACTCTGAGGCGGACACTGGCATGGCCACCGCCTGCCTGTTACTTTCTGCGTCTTGTCAGCATGACGAGGACGGAGCTGTGTGATTCTGACAGACTGCCCGGTCCCCAAATCTAAAATGTGTGCCAGCCGCCCCGATGGGAAAACCTGCAGATGCTGGTCCTAGCTGAGGGTGGCACAGTCAGGCGGGCATTTTAGAAAGATCACCCCATCAACTGTGTGGGCCCCGCCTGAAACTGCACAGGGCAAGGCAGAGGGCGAGTTCTGGAGACCCTTGAAAACCTCCGGGCTTCATGATGATACCCCGAGTCTGCTGGCCCCAAAGTGCAGTGCTGCTGCGACTTCTTCCCGCTGCCTCCCTGGCTGTGTGTGAGTCTCTAAGCCCAGTGGTTTTCTTAACTTTTTGTCTCAGAGCCTGCTGCCAGCAGCTGAACCGTGAATTTGAGTGACCTGTTGGGTGGCCACTCTTGGACACGGTGCCCTCCACACCCCCCTCAGTGCTCGTGTCTAGGTGGGAGTGTCGGGGGAAACCTGGTCCTTTGCCCACCCGGCCCTGGGAGGCTCCCGCCTGCAGACAGGCTTTGGGCTCGGCGTCCTTGGCGCTGCTCCTGCTGCCTTGAGAAGATCCCCTTTGAGCCTTTCCGGGCTGTTTCCCAGGTTGGCTTCTCTTTGGCAGAGGACCTGGAGCACAGCGGCTCTGTGAGCGCTGGGTCTGCGGCCCAGCCTCAGGAGCTCTTACTGGGAAATGGGCACTGAGGGCCAGGCAAACAACCCAGCAAGTGATAACTGCAAAGCTGGCTTCATCTTACGGAAATCTGCAGCCTGCACTTATAGACAGCATAACGCCTGCTGCCTGCTCTCTGTAATCTGCTTGGATGGGTCTGGAGTGACACAGCTGATGGCTTGGCCATGGCCTTTGCCCCCTTTTGAAGAGCTCCTTGGCCACCCACACCATGCTAGTGGTGAGAAGTGCCTGGCCCTATGGGACCCGGAGCTTCTTGAAAATTCTGTAGGATTCTCGCCTACCCTGAACCCAAGAAGGACGTGGTGGCAGGGATGGTGGGTGTGTGACTATGGCTGAGCT